GGAGAAGCCCCAGGAGGCCCTTCCTTGCCACTCCCTGCGCCTACAGCTGCCGCTGGCTGTCTCGTGTCTCAGCTCCCTCACCCTGCCTCCCCGCTCGGCTGGCCCGGCCCAGGGTCTTCACTTTCCAGAAACAGTCCTGCCCACCTTCTGCCCACGTCCCTGCGCTTGCTGGCCTCCGCCTGCACTGCTGTCATCGCCTCCTCCCACAGCAGCAGAGCCTCCACCTCCACCGCCCAGGCCCACACTGCGACCTCCTGTGTACAGGCATAGGGCAGGGGCAAAACTTTTGGAAAACCCAAATGCCCCCCCCCCCCCCCCCCCCGGCTCTGGGATGGGGCCCAGAGGCCTGACACAGCCACCGGGAGCCACACTGTGGCCTTCCCTTAGCAGTTTTGTTTTGTTTTTGATTTATCTTTTAGTTCCAGATTTCTATGACTTTTTTTTTTTTTTTAATTCATTCTATTTGAGGCCGGTGCCGTGGTTCACTAGGCTAATCCTCCGCCTGTGGCGCCGGCACACCGGGTTCTAGTCCTGGTTGGGGCACTGGTTCTATCCCGGTTGCCCCTCTTCCAGTCCAGCTCTCTGCTGTGGCCCGGGAGTACAGTGGAGGATGGCCCAAGTGCTTGGGCCCTGCACCCCATGGGAGACCAGGAGGCAGCACCTGGCTCCTAGTTTCAAATCGGCGCAGCACGTCGGCCGTGGCAGCCATTTGGGGGGTGAACCAATGGAAGGAAGACTTTTGTCTCTCTCTCTCTCTCACTGTCCACTCTGCCTGTCCAAAAAAAAAAAAAAAAAATACATTCATCTATTTGAAAGGTAGAGTTACACAGAGAGAAGGAAAGACAGAGCAGTCTTCCATCCGCTGATTCTCTCCCCAGATGGCCACAACAGCTGGGGCTGGGCCAGGCTGAAGCCTGGAGCCTGGAGCTCCATCTGAGTCTTCTACCTGGGTGCAGGGGTCCAAGCCCAGGGCCATCCTCTGCTGCCTTCCCAGGCACATGAGCAAGGAGCTGGATTGGAAGAGCAGCCATGACTCAAACCAGTGCCCGTATGGGATGCCAGCACTGCGAACGACAGCCTAACCTGCAGCCCACAGTGCCAGCCCCCTCCATGACTTGTATAAAAAAAAGTTTACTTTTTCCTTTTTTTTTTATAAGATTTATTTTTTTATTTGAAAGAGGAGAGGCAAAGAGAGAAAGGTCTTCCATCCGATGGTCCACACCTCAGTTGGAGTTGGCTGCGATAGCCGGAGCTGTGCCAATCCGAAACCAGGAGCTAGGAGCTTTCCCAGGCCATAGCAGAGAGCTGGATGGAGGTAGAGCAGTCGGGACTCGAACCAATGCCCATAGGGGATGCCAGCGCTTTAGGCCAGGGTGTTAACCGACTGCGCCACAACGCCAGCCCCAAAAGTTTATTTTCTAATTTCCATTTATTTGAAAGGCAAAGCAACAGAAAAAGTGAGAGAGAGAGATCTTCCGTCTGCTGGTCCACTTTCCAAATGCCTTCAGTAGCCAGGACCAGGCCAGGCTGAGGCCAGGAGCCTGGAACTCAGTCTGGGTCTCCCACGTGGGTGGCAGCACTTGGACCATGGTCTGCTGCCCCTTAGATTAGCAGGAGGCTGGAGTAGAAATGGAGCGCCTGGGACTTGAACCAGGCCTCCTGTGTGGGCTGCTGGCCGCCTTAGCCACGACGTGCCCTGCTGTCCCAGCCCCACACCTCCTGCCGTCCTTGGCAGACTTTGTCTTCTGTGGCCTCTCCCTGTGGCGCTCACACGGACCCCCATCCCCGTCTTCCTCTCCTTGGAGCTGCAGAATAAAATTTCTCTTTGCTCCGCCCTGCCTTGCTCTGAGCCTCTTCCCCTGCTCTGGTCAGTCTAAGCTACAGCCCCTCTGCCCAGCAGCAGGCCTGCTTCTGTAGTGCTTCTAACCTCCATGGAGGCCCCACTACGCCAAGCAGTATAGACCCCACAGCCCAGTGGTGCATTCCCAGCCCGGGCCATCTAGTTGCCTTGCCTTCCCGGGCCAGGCCGAGGCTGTGGCTCCCTCACGGCGCTGTCCTGCCATGCACTAGGCACCTGTGGTCGTGAGCACCTCTTGCAGTCCTGGGTCTCATCTGTCCTCAGCGCTGCCCTCACCAGGCCCCATGCACACCTGTTGCCTGCCCCTGCCCACACTTGGTGCAGTCCAGTTCTCCGTCTGATGTTCTGGCCCCAGGGAGGTCTTTCCTGATCCCCTGGCCGTGCCCGACAGCCCAGCGGCCCCCGTGTGCTCTCTGCAGGAGAAGATGTTGGACATCTACTGGTTGCTGCGTGTCTGCCTGCGCACCATCGAGCATGGCGATCGCACGGGTTCTCTCTTTGCTTTCATGCCCGAGTTCTACCTGAGCGTGGCCATCAACAGCTACAGCGCTCTTAAGAACTACTTTGGCCCTGTGCACAGCATGGAGGAGCTCCCAGGTAATGGGACCACTCTGGCTGGGGTGAGGGAAGGGTGGCACCAAGGGGGCCCTTAGCATGAGCCCTGGTCTGGGCCACCCCTGCCCGCAGCGTGCACCCCACAGGGACAAGGGGCAGCAGGTTCCTGCTTGCGTCAGCCCACAGCCAACATTTGCTCCCTTCCCTGGCACCTGCAGCCTCAGCCTCAGGACCAAGCGCTCCTCCCCGGGCCAGGCGGAGTGCAGGGTGAGGGACCCATGGCCTTCACCCCTTCCTCTCCTTCCTGGTGCTGCCAGGTGGCTGCCGTGTCCGAGTGTGGCAGGGGTCGGCGCGGAATGGCTCACTTCGGGGCTTCTGGCAGACACTGACTCCAGGCTGGGCCGGGCCGGGCACCCGAGGTTTGGGTCGGGCTGAGTGTCGGGCCTCTGGCCTGCCTGGTGCTGCACCCTGGCCTCGGCGTGGGCTTTTGTATTCAGAGGCAGAGCTGTGGGTGCCCGGGGGCTTTGAGTGCAGCTCATAGGCACATGTGCTGACACGGGTTTGAGTCCAGGACCTGTCCTCACCCCACAGTGAATCTGCCTTTGCCCCTTCCCCAGCAGCCAGTGAGTGCCCTGCTCCATGTCCCCAGATGCCACCCTGGATCCTTCCACCCTGCCAGGGGCATTCCTGCCTCGGGATCCCCCACTCCCAGCTCCCGGTTTGTTTATTTATTTGAAAGAGTTACAGAGGTAGAGGCAGAGAGGTCTTTCATCCGCTGGTTCACTCCCCAAATGGCCACAATGGCCAGAGCTGATCCTATCCGAAGCCAGGAGCTTCCTCTGGGTCTCCCACATGGTGCAAGGGCCCAAAGACTTGGGCCATCCTCCACAGCTTTCCCAGGTGCACTGTCAGGGAGCTGGATTGGAAGTGAAGAAGCTGGGACTAGAACCGGCGCCCATACGGGATGCTGGCTCTGCAGGCCAGGGCGTTAACCCACTGAGCCCTAGCACCAGCCCCTTGCTCCCAGTTCTTACTGCACACCCTTGCAGGCTACGAAGAGACCCTCACACGCCTGGCCGCCATCCTTGCCAAGCACTTTGCCGACACGCGTATCGTGGGCACTGGTGAGAAGCCCTGCAGAGGGCCCAGGGGATGGGGTTGGGCTGGCAGCCCTGGTGGGCTGCATTCTGAATGGGCATAAGACATGCGGCCAGGGCTCCGGCCAGGCACTTGCTGAGGCCCGGCCTATCCCGGCAGACATCCGAGATTCGCTGATGCAGGCCCTGGCCAGCTATGTGTGCTACCCACACTCCCTGCGGGCTGTGGAGCGGATCCCCGAGGAGCAGTGAGTGGGGGTCTGGGGGGAGGCACACACACCCTGCCCTGCACACGACGTGCCCAGCCTCATCCCCGGACTCCCACCCCTTTGCCCTCACAGGCGTGTTGCCATGGTGAGGAGCCTCCTGGCTCCCTATGAGCAACGGCCTTGGGCGCAGACCAACTGGATCCTGGTGCGACTCTGGAGGGTAAGCCTGACTTGGAGGGGGTGGCTGTGGCCAGCTGGATGGAGAGGTTGCCCTGCTCTGCTGACCACTGCCATCCGTCCCCCAGGGCTGTGGGTTTGGGTACCGCTACACACGGCTGCCACACCTGCTGAAAACCAAGCCCGAGGATGCCAGTTTGCCCAGCCTGCAGAGTAAGTATCGGGTCAGGTGAGTGCCTACCGCTCGGGTTCCTGGAGGCTCTTCCAGCCTCTCCTGGCCTTGTGCTAGGCCCAGAGCCCCTGCCTGGCCTCTGGGGTTTCCGTTTTCTCTGCATCCTTCCAGCCCAGGGACTCTGGGCTGCTCCCACTTGCTCCTCAGCCCCATGTGTGCTTTCCGGGCCTGCACGCCTGCAGGGGTCACTGTGAGGAGGCCCCATCCCTCCAGCCCCCGGCAGCTCCTGCAGTGAACTCTGCCTCGCCCTCTGAGCCAGCTCCTTGACCTCTGGCCTTGTCCCAGCACTGCGTCCTTTTGCTCCTTGTCATCTGCTGGCCCCAGAACCAGGGTTTGGCTTAAGCCTTGGACATGTGGCGAGGGCTTGGAGGCACAGATTGGTCGGCCAGAGTCCCAGAGGGTGCTCATGGGCTTCCTGGAGGAAGGGGCATTTGGGAACAGAGGCTGTGCTGTCTGTCGAGGGTCCAGCAAAGTCTGGTGAGCCTAAGCCCTTCACCACAGCCTGGCCCAGGGTCCTGGGCTGTCTAGCTTGCAGAGGGCCCGCCACGCACGGCTCACCCCGCAACATGGCTCTCTCGGCCACCTGCTGTGTGTCTGCCCTTGGGGACTGTGTCTTGGTCTGAGAGGTGTCCCCACAGAGGCCAAGTGCCTTGTGCAAAGTCACACAGCAAGCCCTTGCCGATTGTCTTGGTCCTGTCTCTGGGGCGGAACTGAACCGCAAGCGGATACCAGCCTGCTGCGGCAGGGACTATTGATTCGCACCGGGAGGGGAGGGGAGGCATGCGGGCCAGCTGCGGCTGAGAGCTCTGGTTACTGCTGCCCGCCAGCCCAGACATGGCGCCCACCTCCTCGGCCATGTGCCAAGGCCAGGCCAAGGGCGGCAGAGGAGCACAACAGAGGACAACAGGCACAGGAGTGGGCTCTTGGAGGTGGCTTTGAAATCGGGGGGGAAGGATCCAAGTCGCCCTGGCTAGGTCTGACCCAGAGTTTCAGAGAGGGGCCCAGAGCCATGCGGCTGCTCTGGCTAGGAGGGCTTTGGTGCGGGAGCTTGTGGTTGTACAGCCAAGGGAGAGGGTGGGTTTAGCCCTAAACCCCCGCCCCTGTCCTCCTGACCTGAGCATCGCCAGGGAGCCATCTGTGCTCAGGGCGGAGGGTGAGGACAGGGACAGACCGCAGGGGCCCCTGTCCTGGAGCCCCTGCCGACGCCAGCTCCTGTGCCCCGCAGAGCCCTGCCCCTCCACGCTGCTGCAGCAGCACATGGCGGACCTGCTGCGGCAGGGCCCCGACGTGGCGCCCAGCTTCCTCAACAGCGTCCTGAACCAGCTCAACTGGGCCTTCTCGGAGTTCATCGGCATGATCCAAGAGGTGGGCTGCGGTGGGGCCTGCGGGCCGGGGGTCGCGGGCCTCTGCGGTCAGTCAGGCTGTCACTGCTTCCTGCTCATGTGTTGGGGGCTCAGATCCAGCAGGCTGCAGAGCGCCTGGAGCGAAACTTCGTGGACAGCCGGCAGCTCAAGGTATGTGCGACCTGCTTTGACCTCTCGGTCAGCCTGCTGCGTGTCCTGGAGATGACCATCACCCTGGTGCCCGAGATATTCCTCGACTGGGCCCGGCCTACCTCTGAGATGCTGCTGCGGCGTCTGGCACAGGTGTGTCCATCCGGGCAAGGAGGGCGGGACCCCGGGGACGCCCTGATGCGAGCCTGCCCATCCACCAATGGGCTCTTGCCCTCACAGCTGCTGAACCAGGTGCTGAACCGGGTGACAGCTGAGCGGAACCTGTTTGACCGTGTGGTCACCCTGCGGCTGCCTGGTGAGGACCTGGGTGCCCGGCTCCTGGCGGCCTGTCTGCAGCGGGACGGCCAGGCTCGCCCTTGAGTCAGCCAGGCCTGGGGCTGTGGGCCACCTGGGGTCATCCCTTCCCTACCTTTCCCTTAGGCCTGGAGAGCGTGGACCACTACCCCATTCTGGTGGCAGTGACGGGCATCCTGGTGCGGCTCCTGGTGCACGGTCCGTCCTCAGAGTGAGTGCTGGGGGCGGGCCCCCCGTGGGAGCTGCGTGTGTCTTAGGGGCTCAGTGTGCCTGTCGTGGAAATGGGACTCAGTACAGGCTTTGGAGCACAGGGAAGAGGGTGAGGCTTGAACTGCCCAAACAGCCGGTGGGCAGGAGAACCAGGGACCCCGCAGGGCGGGGTTTGTGGCCGTGCCTCAGGCGGCGCACGAGGGCCAGGGTGGGGGTGAGGGCCTCCCTCACTGCGAGAGCGCTGCTGGACCCAGGCCTGACGCGGAGCGCCCCCGCACCTGCCAAGGCTCCGGCATGAGCATGCACCGCCTTTATTAAGAAACTCCACAACCGCAGGGGCCGGGCCACCGTGGATTCCCCACTCAACCCCCACCCTCGAGGGTCCCCAGCCCCCCCCGCTCCCCCGCGTTCTTAGGAGTGGTGAGATGCATATGAGGCCCGGGCACCGCCCCAGCCATTAGACTGCAGCCCGCGCCAGCGCTTAAGAGGCTCCTGCCCCCGAGGGACATGGGGTTCCGGCCGGCGCTCCCAGCCTGGCAGAGCTCGGCAGGCTTTTTACCACTGGACGCCCTGCACTGTGGTCCCACGAGCCCACGGGACAGGCTGTGATGGACGCCTCTGCCCAGAGAGGGCACAGCCCCTCGGGCGGGGGCTCACGCCGGGCGCCCACGGGGTATGGCTGCCCACCAGGCTCTGCTTGACGTGCTGAAGCTGTGAGCAGGGAGGGTGGTGGGGAGGGGCAAGTTGTGTTGTACCCGAGGGGAGGTCTGTCTCCCTGCCCTCTGGAAGGTGGGGGCTTACTGTCCCTGGGAGCCCCTCCTTAGATCTGAGCGACCTCCTGGGCAAGCTGCCGCAGCCTGTCGGGGGCCTGGCGCTGCAGTGCCAGGGCTCTAACAGCACTCAGCTCCCGCCGGCGGGCACTGGGAGTGTGCAGGGAGAGCAGCACTACACGCCCAGCGAGGCAGAGGCAGCTAAGGCCGACCCCTCTGCCAGCACGCGGGGCCATCGCGGTTTAGGTCGAGGCCCACGCGGGATGTGGGAGACCGTGCAGAGCTTTCCAGCAGCTTCCGGCCGTTCTCTGCCTGCAGCAGGGGGCGGGGCCCGGCCAGGTCTGGGCCCCTAGTTCATCATGAGCCCCTCAGAGCCCGTGGAGCTGGCAGACTCGGAGCTGGCCTTGAGGTGCAGGCCCACCGGGTTATAGAGATCCAAGTCCTCGGCGACTGCCAGCTGCACGCGTCCATTGAGGCCCCTCCTGCCCGGCTCCAGAAAGACCACGTGCTTGTGGACGCTGGCCTTGCGGCTGGGCGCGTCTGGTGGCGTGGTGCTGAGCACCGAGGACTGTGCGCTGAGCTCCTGGAGCGGGCTGGGCGCGCGAGGCCACGGGCAGCAGCAGCGGCAGGCTCTGCGGCAGCAGCGGCAGCAGGTGCGGCAGGGCGGGGCAAACAGGTAGAGCAGCACCAGCACCAAGCCCACGGCACAGCCCAGCAGCGTGGTGAAGCCCGTGTTGAAAGCCTCCGGCTCCGGGCGCGGGAAGTGCACACTCACGTTGTACTCAAGGGTCTGGTTGTGGTGCAGGCGCGGCCCGACGGCCAGGCACACGAACACGCCTGCGTGCTGCTGCTGCACCTTGCCTATGGCCAAGCTGCCGTCGGGCAGCACCGCGATGCTGCCGTCGCGAGAGCCGGGCGCCACGAGCAGCTCGTGCTGCGGTGACACCCACGCCACACGCACGGCCGGGGTGCTGGTGTTGCAGTGCAGCCTCAGGGACCCACCCACCTGCGCGTGCAGCAGCTCTTCCGGTGGCTCGAGGCCCGGGGCTGGGGCAGCCGAACAGTTCTCAAAGATGCGGCTGTGCTGGAAGAAGCGCACGCGGGAGGCGGGCACCTTGAAGGCGAGGCACGTGTACTCGCGGGCGAAGTCGCGCACGGCGCTGAGGCCCCGCTGATACCAGCGCTGCAGCAGGTGGTGCAGGCGGCAGTCGCAGGGCAGCGGGTTGTCGTGCAGGTAGAGGCCGTTCTTGAGGAAGGCCGGCAGCGCTGCCAGCCCGGGGACGGAGATGTGCCCCAGCCGGTTGGAGGAGAGGTCCAGGGTCCGCAGGTGCGGCGCGCCCAGGCCGTGCAGGTGGTCGAACGAGAAGGCTGCGAGTTCGTTGCAGCCCAGGTAGAGTCTGCCCAGTGCGCGCAGGCCGTGGAAGGCGTGCTCGTCCAGGTGCGCCAGGCGGTTATTGAACAGGAACAGCGTCTCCAGTGCCCCCAGCCCGTCGAGGTCGTGGCGGCCAAGGACCCGCAGTGCGTTAGAGGATAGATCCAGCAGCCTCAGGCTGCTGGCATTGGTGAAGACGCCGCGACCCAGCGCATCCAGCGCGTTGTGGTCTAGGCGCAGGGTGTGCAGCCGGGAGAGGGGCGCCAACCAGCCGGGGCGCAGGCGCTGGAGCGCGTTGTGGCTCAGGTCGAGGTGTGCGGCCGCGGCAGGTAACGCACCTGGTACGTCCTGCAGCCCCAGACCCGCACAGCTCAGCAGGTCGGCAGCGCAGACGCATCTGTAGGGGCAGTTGTGGGGCGCAGCAGGCGGGGAGCCCTCAGTGCCTAGCCCGACACGCAGCATGCACAGCACTGCGCCCAGCAACAGCCAGGCCATGGTGGCGGCGGCGGCCGGGCGCGGGTCGCAGCTCCTGGACTCACCCACTCTCGCTGTGGTTCAAAGGACGGCCTGGGGCCGAGGCGGCACCAGGCGCGCTGCAGCCGCTCCACGGCCCCCAGCGGGAGACGGGGCCGCGCTGCACTCCGCGCCTGGGTCGGCTCTCCTAGCCGCCTCCCGGTGCTGCCCCGCTCGGGCTCCTAAATACTCCCCGGGAGGCCATGGCTCAGGGGGCGGGGCGCTCGGCTCCCATTGGTTCCCGTCGCAAGGGGCGGAGCGGCTGCGTCCCGGGTGGCCGCCAGAGGGGGCGCGAGCAGAGGGCCACTATCCCAAGGGCAGCGGTTGGGAATGCGGTTGGGAATCCGGCAAGAACGTCTCTAAGCTATTCGTGTTTGTTTATTTGAAGTAGCTTGGAAGGGTTAATGTACTGTGGGCTTTGAGTACCTTACGGTGGCCTGGCTGTGTAGGATCTTTCTGGAATCCGGGACCTCGGAGGGTTGGCTAAGCAGCAGGGAGATGAAAAGGCCAAAGGGTGTGCTAACGGATGGTCGGAATTGCCACACCCCCTGCTCCCTGAGACTCCTGTCTGGCCCCAAGCCTTCTCACTGCCCTTAAACCCGCCCCTCCCCAGGACAGAGCGAGCCACGTCCGTGCTCCTGGCTGACCCCTGCTTCCAGCTCCGCTCCATCAGCTACCTTCTGGGGCAACCAGAGCCCCCAGCACCTGGCGCTGCCCTGCCTGCCCCTGACCGGAAGCGCTTCTCCCTGCAGAGCTGTGAGTGGCCTAGGGCAAGACCAGAGACTGGGCGTGGTCTTCAGCCCCAAGAACAGCCGGCTCCCAGACTGGGACAAGGGAGGCACTAGGCTCCAGGGCCGTAGTGGGCCTGACCCCACCTCCTGCCCCCCAGATGCGGACTACATCAGTGCTGAGGAGCTGGCCCAGGTGGAACAGATGCTGGCGCACCTGACCTCCGCCTCCGCCCAGGCAGCAGCTGCTTCCCTGGTGAGTAGGAGCGCCGCACACCCACAGACAGCAGCGTCCAGCCCCAGCTGAGCCCGCCCTAACGCTCCCTCCTACAGCCCACCAGTGAGGAGGACCTCTGCCCCATCTGCTACGCCCACCCCATTTCTGCCGTGTTCCAGCCCTGTGGCCACAAGTCCTGCAAGTAAGTAGCCTCCAGGCATCTGCAGGTAGGGGCACAGGGACCCCGTGCAGCGCTCACCCCCGCCCCCCGCCCCGGTGTTGCAGAGCCTGCATCGATCAGCACCTGATGAACAACAAGGACTGCTTCTTCTGCAAAGCCACCATTGTGTCAGTAGAGGACTGGGAGAAGGGAGCCAGTGCCAGTGGTGCCGCCGCCGCCGCCGCCACCACCACCACCACCACCACCTCCACCTCCTCGGCTGCCTAGCCCACAGCATTCTGGAACCTCCACCCTCGGACCCAGACCCCAGGCTGGGCCCTATTTATGAGCTCCCCTCACCCTGCCACCTTCCCTGCCACCTCCAACCTCCTAGCCTGTGTGCAGTCTGATTGGTGGGAGCCTAGCCACGGCCCTAACTGTGCCTGAGCTGAACTAGGAGTCAGGGCCACAGCGAGCATTAAATTATTATTCCAGACAGCCCTGGCCGCGGCCCTTCTTCGGGGGAGTGGGCCATGTGCAGGGTGCCCAGTGGGGAGCCCGCGGAGAAGGCAGGTGTCCAACAAGCTCCGGTGGCCTTCAGTCCTCCCCCGCAAGTCCAGGGCCCTCACCCCGGCCCGAGGGCACGGCAGCTCGGCCTGCGGGGCCCTCACATGATGATGCGTGGCTCCGGCACCGACTCGCCGATGGACTTGTGCGGCAGCACGCTGGCCCCGTTGAGGTAGAGCTCGTCGTTGACGATCACGTCCTCGCCCAGCACAGTCACGTTCTCCATGCGCACCTCCGGGGGACAGAGCAGGCTGCGTCAGCCACAGTGCGTCCCCGCCCCTCCGCCTACCTGGCCCCACCCACAGGCTTACCCACTGGCCCACACGGCAGCGCCAGCCCACGATACAGGACTCGAGCCAGGAGTGCGAGCGGATGTGGGCGTCCCGCAGCACCGTGCAGCGCCGAATGCACACGCCGTCCTCCACCACCACACCAGGCCCCAGGCTCACGTTGGGGCCGATGCTGCAGTTCTGACCAATCCGGGCACTTGGGTCCTGAGGGCCACGGGGAAAGTGCAAGTGGGCCACCTGTCACCCAGGCCTGAGAGAACCGATAAGGGGCTGGGGGCCTAGCCCATGAAGCCACTGCCTGCAATGCCAGCATCCCATATGGGCGCCAGTCCGAGTCCCGGCTGCTCCCCTCCTTTCTTTTTTTCCCCCCTAAGATTTATTTATTGCAGAGGCAGAGGCAGAGATTTGTCTTCCATCCTCCAGTTCACTCCCCAACTGGCAACAATGGCTGGAGCTGGACTGGATGTGGGGCAGCCGGTACTCAAATCGGCACCCACATGGGATGTGGGCACTGCAGGAGGCGATGCCACAGTGCCGCCCCGGCTACTCCGCCACAGCCTGGGAAAGAAGATGGCCCAAGGGCTTAGGCCTCTGCACCCCCGCAGGAGACCCGGAGACGCTCCTGGCTTCCATCAGCTCAGCTCCGGCCGTTGTGGCCATTTGGGGAGTGGACCAGCAGACGGAAGACGTCTCTCCGCGTCTGCCTCTAACTCTGCCTTTCAAATGAATAAATAAATCTTTAACAAATTGACCAGCAGGGGCTGGGCAGGGAGCTCACCACGAGCACGTTGCCCACGATGCCAGGGCCCGAGCACAGGCGCTCGGGCTGCTTCTGCCTCAGCGACTGCAGGAAGAGGCACATCCCGGTGAGGAAGTCTTTGGGCTGGCCGATGTCCATCCAGAAGCCTGCAGGGACGGGTGCATCAGGGGGCTCAGCCCAGCCACAGACCACCCCCACCCTGTGCCTCCCTGCCTCACCCTGCAGCTCCATGGCATATAGCTGCCCCTCCTTGGCCATAACGGGGAAGACCTCCTTCTCAATGGACGTGGGCTGCAGCTGTGGGAGTGGGCAGCTCGTGAGCAGGGTCATGGCGCCAGGGGCCTGTCCCAGCCCAGCCCCCCAGCAGCTGTCCCTACACACCTGGATGCGCTGCAGCACGGCAGGGCTCAGGACGTACATGCCTGCGTTGATCTTATTGGACACAAACACCTGCGGCTTCTCCACAAAGCGGTGAATACGGCCTGTTTCAGCCTCACACACCACCACACCATACTTGGAGGGTTCCTCCACCTTGGTCACCTGAATACAGGGGGGCCCAGGCCTGGTCCAGCGTTCCTGAACCTGGACGTGCATGCTCTGATCTCTTCAAAGATACATGCTGCACAGCTCCATACCCGTAACGAAAGGAGGTGGTTCAAGGCTGGGCACGGGGAGAGGGAATGTTAGAGCAGGAAGACCTGGTCTCTTACCAGGATGGAGCCCTCCTGGCCATGGTGCCGGTGGAACTGCGCCATGGCTTGGAAGGGAAAGTCACAGATCACGTCACTGTTGAGGACGAAGAAAGGGTCTGCCGTCTCGGAAAGCAGGTCCCGGGCCAGGGCCAGGGGCCCAGCTAGGGAAACAGGACCAAGGTGCCGCCTTGTTAAGGCTCTGAACACCTGGACCAGGACTCCACCCAGGCCAGGTCTTTCCCTTTCCCGAAAGCTCTAAACCTTTCCCAAGGGGCTTCCTATCTGCACTGACCTGTCCCCAAAGGCTCCTCTTCATGGGACATGGAGATTCGGATTCCCAACTGGAAGGGAGAAATCACCTGGTCAACTTCTCCCTCAAGGTGGGAAGCTGGCCAGGCACTAAAGAAAAGGGCAAGAGTCAAGGCCTCACCCTCTGCTCCTGCGCCTTCATTTCCTTCTCCAACACCTGCGACATGTAGCTCACAGCTAGGATCACGTGGTCCACACCTGCCTGTTGGACAGCACAGCGGACAGGCAGGAGGGCTCAGCAGGGGAGGCACAGGCTCCCACCAACCCCTCCGCCGGTCCCGTCGCCAGCCATCTTTCGTCCCGCCTGGCCCAACCCTGTCCCCGGACCTCACCGCGGCAAGGGCCTCCACTTGGTGCAACAAAATGGGCTTGTTGCAGAAATCCACCAGTGGCTTCGGAGTGCTCAGCGTCAGCGGCCGCAGCCGTGTCCCATAGCCGCCCACCAAGATCAGTGCCTTCATCGCGCCTGCGGGCGACGGGAGACTCAGTCCCAGGAGCCAAGGCGGAGCGGCCCGCCCGGCCGTGCCCCGCCCCGCGCCCTCTGCCAGCCAGACTGACCGACTCTGGTTCCACCTGGTCCACTCTCCGCCGGACGCCAGGGCCGGGCCGCCACAAACCAGGAGCAAACGCGGAGCAGAGGGCCGCGGGCCCGGAACTCGGGCCGGACCCGGCGCGGCCAGTGACGTGTCCTGGAGCGCACCAATCAGCTGCCGCATACGTGGCACCGCCGCCGCGTCGGAGCGCCGGTCTGCGCCGCAGCAACCGACGTAGCCAATGCGAGGCTGAGCGCGCCGGGTTGCTATGGGGACCCACACGGGACCCAGCGGGTCAGCTCCTCATTGGCGGATCCAAAGGCGGAACTGGCGGCAAGGGCGCGGCCTCCTCCCCTATCCCTCCCAGCGTCCGCCGCGACGCAGCTGCACTCCCCCAGCCTCGGCGCGGGCGAGCGGGACGAGGATGGAGCCGGCGGCGGCGATGAGGCTGGCAGCCTGCTAGGCCGGTCTTTCCGGAAGCCACGAGGTTTTCACAAAGACGCGGGCACACTTGTTTCTAGCGGCTTTATTTGGACATACACGATCTCAGACACAAGCGGGGCGGGCAGCGCTAGGTGCACAGAAAGGGGCGGGCTCCGCCCAAGCAACCCCTCCCACACGCAGGGTCCCGAGAAAAAGCAACTGCGCCGAGCCGGCGGAGCCACGTGTCGAATGTGACGCAGGCCTCGGGAGGCGTGGACAGGCTGAGTTTCTATGAAAGCGCAGAGAGCGATTCCCCGAACTTCCCCCGGAGAAGCAAAGGAACTAAGTCCTTCCCAGGGTTCTCCGCTTTTTTCCCGTTAAAAATTTAAATCGACACAAACATAACCACATGGTAGGTACAGTTTTAAAGTTCAAAGCAATCTGCATCTAGGGAACGTGCACGTGGCCAGGTGTGAGCGCGTGAACAGCAGCTACAGAACTAGCGCAGGCCCCTGGCTTTTGCTGGGAATCCCCACGCCCATTGCACAGGCCCAGAGGGGTAGGGGCGGGGCCCCTGGCAAGTTGCTACACTGGTCCCCTTCCTCTTTAAGCACCACCATCCCATCCAATCCCGGGGGCTGGTGTCAGCTTGTCCCAGGAAAGCACTAGAGGGGTCACCTGAGGGCCCCAACCCATGATCCCACGTTGCACTTTGGTCCCAAATTGGGGCTGGGGAGACAGGGCCTAGCAGGGACAGGGAGAAGCAGCCCTGGCAGGAAGAGAATGTATGTGCACGCACACACCTCACCCCTAACAGGGCTGGCTGTCTGCAGGTGTCAAAGTGCTGAAGAGGTCCCTGCCCTGGGAAGCAGCAGGAGATTGCAGGCCCTTCCTCTTTAGTGCCAGGAAAACACTGAGTGTAAGTGGGGACAGCCTCCCTCGCTGTGAGCAGCAGCAGAACAGGGCAGAATCTGCTCCCCAATCTACAAACTGGGCAGTCCAGAGTGGCCCCAGACCCTCTGTCCTATCCCCTACCCTGCTAGGGAACGACTGTCTACACTAAGGAAGCCACAGAATGGTACAAGAGAGAAGATGGTCATTACAAACCAGAAACAGGCAAACTGCCCCTCCCAGGCCCAAGCAATGGGAACCTGCCCCATGGGCACCAGGGTCAGAGAGCGGGGGGATGGGATCCTTCAAGGAGCCCTCTCAAGAAGCTGCACTGCCAAGGACCACATCATCTTTCACTAACACAGGCCAGCAGGTTTACCTTCAACACCAAGACAGGGACAAAGCCCCAGGGGACGATGGTGGCCCCAGGTTTGGAGAGGGTGCTAACCTTGGCAATGGCTGAGTGCTATGTCACCTGGCCACCCGTGTCAGAGGCAGCAGGGAGACGACAAGGATGGGAAAGAAGGCTGGCTTCTTGAGCCTTCACTGCCCCAGTGAGTGCTAAGGCCGCCACGCTCCAGGCCCCTGGGGAGGCGCTCAGCCAGCGGGGAAGTGCCGTCTACAACCCGTCCTGTTACCAGGTCTCTGACACGCAGCACCTGCTGAGGAAGGGCACCGGCGTAAAAGCTAACCTCAGAAACGGCCAGGGAATCTTGCACTGAGGAGAGCATGAAGGAAATCAGTACACGCTGAAAACCGACGCTCCTCCCCAGGGGGAGCCTCCCGGAGACAGGGGCGGGTGGGTGAACAAATGGACAAACTGAGGGAGCCCAGGATCAAACACAGACATTCTCGTTAGCAGAATCTGGGCACCTGCACCCAGGGCCCAATGTCCCTATGAATAGACAAGCTTAAGGTTCTTCCTCTAGGCCCAGGAGCTGGGCTGCCTCCCAACAGGCTGCTGTCTTGAGCGTGGCCTGGGGGAAAGTGAGACCCTGAGTGGACCACAGCCCTTGTGCCCTGGCAGGAGTGGCCCACCAGAGGCAGCACAGCTACCCTAACTAGAGGCAGTGGCCTCCAACCCAAAGCAGGAAGCTGCAAATACTGTCAGGGCCAGAGTCACCAGAGACCCTGAGGCCAGCCCACAGAGCTGTGTCCCCTTCAGTGGGGCAGAAAGCAGTGGCCTCCTTAGGCAAGGGATCTCGGTGAGACAGGCTGGCCGGGGTTGCGGGCAGAGGAGGAGCAGGTTGGCCTGCCAATGGGTGCCTGAGGAACCCAGGGCCTGCGCACTGCCGTGAGTTGGCTTCAGCTCAGCTTCACGAATCTCGCCCCACACCAGAGGCCGAACTGAGAAGGATGCAGTGGGCAGTCAGCTCTGCTGTGCCCTGAGGCACCTGTTACAGAGCTGGCTGACACCTGCAGCAGGAGGAGACTGGAAAGCCCCCAAAAGGTGGATGGCCAATCCTCTCTAATTCAGAGGAACAAAGGATGAGTGGGCATGAAGGGGCCCTGCGCCAGCCCAGGGCTTCACCCTACAATCAGCAGGGCTCTGTAGCCAGAGATCCAGGCAAGAGAAACCAATGTCCCAGGGCACCCTGTACCTGTTGCCACGCCCACCGGGGGCATCTTTGCCTTCCTGTATCAGCCTGGACACAGCAGTCAGAGCCACAGAGCTAAGGAGCCTGGCTGAGAGGACGTATGTTGTGCCCTCCTTCATTTTATATATATGGATTCCAGGCTACAGCTAAAAACATTTCTTTTAGTTTACACCAAAGAGAAATATAACCCTTTAAAAGCAAGTCTGTGTGTCCTCCTGGCGAGTTCAGAGCAATGGTCCCTGCCTGCGGGTGAAGAGGAAAGGGTTCTGGGGGCCCAGAACCAGGCCTACTGGTTCTCGTCTCGCATCTGCTCCATGATGCTGATGAGGTTCTCCAGGCCAAACACATAGCCTCTGTCCGGCCCATCGTGCACGGTGGGGTCATCCCGGAAGCCCTTGAATGTGCTGTGTGCGAAGTCAATCATACGGACATCCACCTTGGGTGGAGAGGAAGGGCCTGCCTCAGGGCTGGTGCTGCTGGGGCTGGTGCTGGGGCCACTGGGTGAAGCCACCTCAGGGAGCCCCATGTCCAGGTGCTTGAGACGCATCTCAGAGCGGCACTCCTTGCCATCGTAGATGACAAGCAGGGAACTGGAGTAGAAGCGGTAGGAGGCCTGCCGCTCTAGCACAGCCTTGAGGCCCCGCAGTTTGCTCAGGATAGGCTCAAAGAGGTCGCGTCGCAGGTCCAGGCCGTTGTGCAGGTACTGATAGAGGGCATTGCGGAAGCCTTCGATGGAGAGCCCTCGGCCATAGTACTTGTTCCTGCAGAGGTAATGCCCTGTGTCCAGCTGGTATACCTGAAACCCCAGAAGACACACAGGTGAGTTACCAGGAAGCATGCTCTGGAAGGCACTCTGATGGCCCTGAGCTTCTCCGCTCACCACCTACCCCAGCTGGAGAGCCACCTTCTCAGGTTTTCCCATCAAGCGCCAAGACAGCCAATACCAGATGCTGAGTTTCCTGCCGTCACCTTGGGAGCCCTCCTTCCAGCTGCTATGGGGCTCAGATAGTCTCTAATTCAGAACATCTTGTTGACAGACAAGAATTTCTCTTGCCCCAAAGTTGAGGCAGGAGGCTCTCAGAGTGGCTCTGTACCTGGAGTCCAGATCAAGGTCAACAGGTAAGGACAGAGGGCTCAGGCAAGACACGCCTAAGGACACCCCCGCGACTCTTCTCAGAGGAACTCTGGACCAAAAAACGGAGCAGGAGGATACTGGTGGCAGGCAGCAGCACCCAGGCTCCCTCCAGGGCTGACTCACCTGCATGCCACAGACCCTGACACCCAGCGAAGCGGACGTGCTCTGCTCACACTTCCTCATCTGCCGGGCTGCCTTCTCGGCCGACGCGTCGTCACCATGCTGCCGGGTGCCCATTTTCAGGTCCAGCACACAGGGGTACTTGAAGTGGTGCACCACGTTTTCAAGCAGGAGGAACTCTGAGCCATGGTCAAGGAGCACAACAAGAACACTGGCCTTGCCCAGCCAGCAGAGCACAAGTGCGCGTCTCTCATGGGAGAGGGCGCTCTCCACTGATGTGATCAGTCTTCAACTCACCGCCTCTCGTGTGGGCTATGTGCTCTGGCTTCTTCATAAAAATGTTTTGTGGTAACATATACACACCATAAATCTCACCTTTTTAAAACACACAGTTCACAACGCACAACCATCACCACCATCCATCTCTAACTTTTTCATCTTCCTCAATTGCAACTCTATGCCCATGAAACACTAGCTCCCCAATCTTGCCTGCAGTCCCTGGGAACCTCTGTTCTCCCTTCTGCCTCTGTGAATGTGTCTGCTCTGGGTACCACGTCAGTGGAATCCTACCAGCCATTTTTTTGGGGGGGGGGGGACAGAGTGGACAGTGAGAGAGAAAGGTCTTCCTTTTCTGTTGGTTCACCCCCCAAATGGCCGCCACAGCGCTGCACTGATCCAAAGCCAGGAGCCAGAAGCTTTCTTCTGGTCTCCCATGGGGTGCAGGGCCCAAGCACTTGGGCATCCTCCACTGCACTCCCAGGCCACAGCAGAGAGCTGGACTGGAAGAGGAGCAACTGGGACAGAATCTGGCACCCCAACCGGGACTAGAACCTGGGGTGCTGGTGCCACAGGTGGAGGATTAGTCCAGTAAGCCGTGGCGCCGGCTCTCCCAGCAGCCATTTTTGCATCTGGCTTATTTCATCCAGCATGGTGTCTTCAAGGTTCACCATGCTATGAGCATGTACCAGAAGACCCTCCTTTCCAGGGCTAAATAATTTCCCACTGTGTGCTTACACCATGCCCACT